AGACTGTCTGCAGGACCTACAGTGATGGTGGTAGGAGTGTCCCTGTGCTTGATCTCCATGTTTGTGGGATTAGACTGTCTGCAGGACCTACAGTGATGGTGGTAGGTGTGTCTTTGTTCTGGATCTTCATGTTTGTGGGATTAGGCTGTCTTTAGGAACTGCATCAATGGTGATAGCATGTCTCAGGTGTAGATCTCACTCTTGGTGGGGTTAGGCTGTCTAGAGGACCTGCAGTGATTGTGGTAGCAGGCTCGGGTGCTGGAGCTTTATATTTTGTATTAGCCCTTGGGTTAGGAGCGTCCCTGCCTCCTGCCCCATGTTGCACTGTCTGCAGAATCTGCACTTGGACTGGCTTTTTCATAGCTCATTTTCCAGTTAAGGCATTTTTGCCTTTTAATTTAACTGCTCAAATGTATAAAATGTCAACCTGGTTCACAGAGTCAAAGGCTGAAGAGTCCCTGGGGAGGCCAGCTGCTTGTGCTTTGGCATCTGCTCCCTGCTGCATTCTGCTTAGTCCCTGGGGGACTCTCAGATGTGCCCGTTTTCTAGAGAGAGGATTATGTCCTCTGCTTCCCTGCCTATCAACTCTGGCTGGAGATCGTGGCGTTTCATCCGCTCCTGACAGAACTGGTTTTCATGGCTCTGCTGTGGTTTCCAGTGGTGTCTCACATAGGTGGTCCCTGTCCTCAAGGCTGCAGTTAAAGGCATGCCATGACGAATCCTGCTGTGGGGGACCCTTGAGGCCCCGATCCCTTTGAGGATAGGGTCAGCTGCCATGAGAAGTGTGAGGCCCATGGAGGACAGGCCCTTCCCCTGGGTGCCCGGTGGGGTCTGTGTGGTCATCTGGCCCTGGTGGCCCACAGTCCCTCCTGTCTGGGGTCCCTGGTGGCTGCATGGGCATTCAGGAGTGGGGGATCCTGAGACAAAGATGCCATGGAGGTGCATCAAGTAGATGTGTGGGTGACCAGCAGGGGCCTGGACAGCAGGGCAGGGGGTCTCTTCAGAGAGCATTGAGAAGAGCGTCTGGAGCCCTGCCCTCCTTCGGGGCCAGAACTGCCGTCCCTGAAGTGGCCACTACAGTAGCCTCCAGTCTCCTTTCTAGCTCCTACCCAGGCATGTCCAGATGGCCGAGAGCCTTGTCCAGGCTGTCTGCCTGGTGCGTGTCCTTGGACACTCATGGGCCTCTCAGTGGATGCTCTTGTGTTATCAGCCCAGTTTATGGTCAGGGGGACTGAGGCGGGTGGGGTGGGGCGGGCCATGGGCCTGAGGCCGCTCCTCTGCTGCCCTGCCTGTGTGCTCTCTGTCCCCGAAACCTAACCCAAGGGCTAGTCCCCCTGTAGGAAGGTCCTGGCCATGCAGTGAGGCCCTCGGGCCAGGGGCATCCCTGCCTCCTGCCCCTTGTCCCACTGTCCCTGCCTCCTCTCCTGCCCCAAGGCCCTGGAGGGGGCCTAAGCAAAGGGACCCTGGGACTATCATTCCTGCCTCTGCATGGCCTCCCTTCTCGTGCAGTGGCCCAGGGCAGAGGCCTCCTGGAGGTCACCGTGTTTCATCCTGGGGACCTCCTGGGGGACAGCCCTGTCTCTTTCCCAGGCCCTGGACTCCGATTCCTTCCAGAGAGCAGGGCGGCAGCTGACCACTCTGGGGCTGGATCTGTGGAATGTGGTTGCACCCAGCCTCTGGAGACCTGGTCCCCGACCCTGACCTGGATGCTGGGCCTCCCCACTCTGCCTGAGAATGGGCTGAGATCACTGTCACACCTCCCTGGGCGCCACGGGCAGCGTTACGGTGCTGTCCCACCGAGGCAGCACCTCCCCGCCTAGAGGCCTTCGAAGCACAGTCCAGCAGGGAAGAGCCAGAGAGGAGTGGAGACCTTTATTAGCAGAGATCACGGCCTGGGGCAGGGCCCAGGGAAACAGGAAAAGGACAGGCCAGCCTAGGGGGGCAGGCCACATGGGAAACTTGGAGAGGACAGGCCAGCTGAGGGGGGACAGGCCACCGGTGCGGCATGACTGAGGAGGGCCTGGGCTGTCCTTGGGGCACTCCTCGGCTCGACCGGCTCTGCTCAGTGGCCCTGCAGGCAGCACCTCTGTCCTCAGAACAGCCCAGTGCTTTGCCGTCCTGAGCTTCACGGCCCGAGGGCCAGGGCCGGGGTCTGCCCGGGTCGCTGGGGCACCTGGTTAGGGGGAGGCGACCCCTTGGGGGTGGTGCTGGAGAATCTGCAGAAGGAACTCACAGTGCAACACCCCCGGGGCGAGGGGCAGGGCCACCAGGACCGAGTGTGGGTGCGGGCGGAAGAAGACCTTCTGTGGGACTTAGAGGACACCAGCGGTCATCTGGGGAGGAAGGAGGCCAGCGGGACGGACACAGCCAGGAGGGGAAGGGAGGCCTGCGCGGCCGAGGGAGGGGGTGACCGACACCACCCGAGCAAGCTGTGGAGGCCCAGGCCCAGCTCGGGGGCCCGGTGACGGCAGAGCCCCGTCTCCCCTGGACGTCTCCCTGTGGTGGCCAGGATGACTCGGTCCGGCTCTTCCTGCTGGCTCTGGGGGGCATGCGGAGAGGCCTGCCGTGCCCATGCCCTAGCCCTGCGCCACCTTCCTAGACACTGTCTGGTAGAAGACACCACGCAGCAGGGCCTGGTAGCTGGGCACGCGAAACAGGTGGCGCTCTCCGAAGGCCACGTCGTACTCGGCCGTCTTGCCAGTGACCAGCACGCGGATGTGGGGCTCATTGACCTGGTGACCCACCACCACCACAAAGACCTCGATGCCCGCCCGCTGGGCCTCTTGCACGGCCTTCTCGATGGCCGCCGCCGTGGCCCCCTGCGAGTTGCCGTCCGAGAACAGCAGCACCTTCTTCTTGGCGGCTCCCGAGGAGGCCTCACGGTAGAAGCGTGTGACGTAGCTCAGGGCATCGTTGACATCGGTGGCATCATTGAAGAAATCCATGCCGTCCACCACGCTGGCCAGCACGGTGTAGTTCTGCAGAAACTGCAGTGCGCCCCGCCCAGGCCTCTGCTGGCCAGGGCCGCTATACTGTACCACCGCCACCCGCACGTCCTGTGAGGGGTCCGCCCGGCCGGCGGACAGGAAGCGCTCTGCCAGGCGCTTGGCGAAGTGCCTGGTGGTGTCGAAGTTGTGGCTGCCCACGCTGGCCGAGCCGTCCAGCAGGATGGTGATGTCGGCCGGGGCGGAGAAGGTGACTGTGGGGCGGGGGAAGGCAGCCGTGAACACCAGGCCCCGACAGCTCCGCGGGCCGGCCACAGGGTGCTGAGCCTCTAGGCACCCTGCCCTCCCCCACACCAGCCCTGATACTGACCTGGGCAGGTGTAGTCTGGACACTTCTTGTCTGCAAAGAGAAGACCCCACACACGTGGACCTCCGACCCCACGACCCACACCCACCCAGGCTTGGTTCTTCCAGGAGGGCAGGCCCCTGACTCGGGAGTGGCAGAGGGTCCCCAGGCTCCATTCCTGGTCCTCACTCCTCCTGAGCTTGGGGACACTGCAGCTCAAGGGGCAGCATGGTCTGCAGGCAGGGGCTCCCTGCCGGGCTGCGGACCAGGTGCCTGTGCAGGAAGGCCCGAGTCTGGCACGGGCAGTCTGTCTGCTGACCACGGCCTCCGTGGAGCCCCTGGCCCTCCTGCCTCCTGCCCGCCGGGGTCTGAGCGGCTCTCCCACCTATGCATATCTGGGCCGTGATGTTCTTCAGGAAGGCATCGTCCAGCAGCTCTGCATAGTTTTCCTTCTCCAGGGAGATGCCCGGCCGGCCCGGGGACGACAGGCCTTGGCAGGAAATGACGTTGAGCTGGTCAGAGCTCGCGACAAAGCCAAACACGTCCTTGATGCCCACAGAGACCACCTGAGGACGGAACGGGGGCACGGCTCAGAGGCTCTCCTCCCCAGGCAGGAGCCCAGTGGCAGCACACTCCCCAGTGGCTGTGGCTGGTGCCTGCCCACCTGGATGTCGGGGCCACAGAGCACGCTGAGTGGAGTGGTATCCCTCTGGGTGTCCGAGCGTCCATCGGTGATGACCAGGGCGATGCGGTCATTCTGGGTGGGCGGCAGCAGCCGGTCCCGGGTGTACTGCAGGGCCTCGCCTGTAAAGGTGCCGCCCGCCATCCACTGCAGCTTCTTGACGGCTCTGCCCGAGAAGAGGGCCAGGCTGGTCAGGCCGGGCCAGGCCGGGCCGGGGGGACTGGGCCAGGGGCTGGGAGGTGGCCCCACTCACTCCTTGAACTCCTGGGCATTGCGGATGTTGGGGCTGCGCAGGTCCACGTGCTCCTGCATCTGGTTGTGGCTGTACTGCACGACGCCAGCGTGCGACTGCCCGGGCTCAAACTGCGGGAGGACCAGGCGGCAGCTGGGAGCCTGCCCCATGCCTGGCACTGTCCCTCCGGGGGCCAGCCGGCTCACAGGGCCACGCAGGCCCAGCACGCAGCCCTCCCACCATCTCCCTTGAGGGTGGGGCTCTGGGAGCCCCCGAGCTCAGGCCAGGCCCCAAGAGCAGGGGGCGCAGCACCCGATGGGGCTGGCGGGCCTGGCTGGTGGGACGCTGGGTGCGCTTCCTGCACGGCGAGATCTGGACCGTCCAGCCCCCGGGGTGCCTCGGCAGGGGCTGCGGGCCTCACCTTGACCAGCTCGTCCCTGCTCAGCCGGTCAATGACCTTGATGATGAAGTCCTTGGCGATCTCAAAGTTCTGCAGGCCGATGCTCTCGGAGCTGTCCAGCACGAAGAGGATGTCGATGGGGCCACACTTGCACTCTGGGGGCGGGGGGCGGTCAGCCAGGGCCTCTCCCGACACGGAGGTCCTGCTGGCCCTTCCTGCGGCTCCTCAGCAGGGGCCTCGCCCGCCAGGCTGCTCCCGCCCCTGTCCCCCACTGGATCCCAGATCCCATGGGGAGCAAGGGCAGGACAGGGGTGGGCTCCTGCCCCAGGCTGCCCAGGGTATCTGCAGCTGCTGGGAAGGAGTGGAGGGGACCGCAGCACCCACAAGGGTGCAGGCTGCGGTGGCCCTCGGGAGGGGATGGGTGGGCAGGTGTGGTCACGGCTCCGTGGCTGCAGATGGGGCTGGTTCCATGGCCAGCAGAAGCCCTTGAGTTACCCTAGTGGGGGGCGAAGTGGCACTCACCGCAGCAGGCTGGAAGAAGAGGGGGGGTTACAGGAGGCAGGACTGCCCACTGCTGCCCAGGGCCCTACCCGCCTGCCCACCCTGCCCCTCCCTGGGCAGAGACCCCTCTGGAGTGCAGCGGCGGGTGCTGGGCTGGCGGGAACATGTTCTCATTAGGACGCTCATTCCAAGGTACTCACAGCACATCTTCATGATGATGTCCAAAATCTCACATTCCTGGGGGGAGAGGGGGACAGTGGGCAGCTCTGGGCTGGGGCATCCTGGTCACCCCAGGACCTCAGGGTGCCCACGCCATCCTGGATATGGCTCTGCTGCCCTGGGATAGTCCCCTGGTTCTGGACGAGGGTTCTCATGACCCAGGTGCCTGCTCTGGGCAGGCACTGACATGGCACTGGACAGTCACCAACACATGACCACCACATGTCCCCCAGACCATCACAAATCCCCTGGTCACACTTCCCTCATGGCCACCGAGCACCCCCTGTGGCGTCATACGGGGCCAGCTCCCACAGCCCCTCTGTACAGTGATCATGACCACACGCCAGCCCATGGGCGTGCAGTGGTCAGGCTCAGAGGACAACCGCAGAGTCCCCACTTACGTCTGGCCCGGGGGGTCCTGTGCTTCCTGGAGGTCCCTGTGGGGGCAGATAGAAGAGGGCTTTGATGGGGTGGTGCCTGTCAGAAGCCCACGAGTTCTGCGGGAAACCACTGCCCACTGCTGGCCCTGCCAGGCCTGTCTGGTCAGGCCTTCTGAGCTCGACCTCCTCCTGCTGTGGTCCAGCCGCCCACAGGGTTTGCCCAGCAGGGGATGTTTCCTGCAGGTCCAGATTCACCTGGTCCCCACCTCAGGGTGCCCACGCCTCCTGGACATGGCTTGGTGCCCTGGGACAGGGCCCTGGTGACCATCCCTCCCCAGGAGCCACAGGTTCACAGAGCCCCCTGGGGTCCGCTGTCGAGGCCCCCGGCCGCCCACTTACTCCCTGCCCCCCCTCTCAGCAGCCCCCTCGCGTCACCCACCTGCGGGCCCTCGGGGCCTCGGTGCCCCTTTGCCCCTTTGACGCCGCGAGGTGCGATGTCGTTGTTCTGGAGGGAGGGAGTGGTCAGTGGAGGCCAGGTGCATCCCCAGGCGCAGGGCCCGTGGCCCACCCAGACCCCTGAGGGCTCGCCCCACTTACATCCTCGCCAGGGTCCCCAGCTTCACCCTCGTCCCCCTTGAGGCCGGGGTAGCCTTTGGTGCCCTGCAGGGGACAACACTGAGGTCAGCAGCGTCTTGGTGGGGCGGGAGGGTGTGGGCACGGCTGGGTGTCCCTGGGGCCACCAGGAGTGTGCGTGCCAGCACACACGTGTCCCCGTGGGAATGCGGGCGTGCGGGGCCCACGTCGGTCAGGCGCCTGCGTCCCACACCCTGGACCCGGGGGTACTCACGTTCAGCCCAGGGGGGCCCCTGCTGCCTGGGTAGCCCTGTGGGGACGATGGAGACGGTCACACGGGTTCACACACAGGAGGGAGGCCAGCCGGCCATGGCAGGGGGACGGGGTCCAGGCCCAGCAGCGGCCCCGCTCCCGAACCCCCAGCCAGCGGAGGCCAGAGCCAGGCGCCGAGGCAGCCGGGGGCCCTGGGATGGCCTGGGCACTTACGGGGAAGCCGGGGAAGCCCTCGGTGCCGTTTCCGGGGGGGCCGTCTTCTCCCTGGGGGCAGAGCACCGTCTCGGGGCCGGCAGGGAGCACGGCGGTCCCCAGCGCCCTCCTGCCCGCCTGCGGGGGCTCCCTCCCCGGGAGGCCGTCCCTCCCCGGGAGGCCGTCCCTCCCCAGGACTGGCTGAGGTCCTCACACGGGCAGCCAGTCTGGATGCTCCTGTCGGTCACAAACCCCAGGGTCAAGCCAGGGCTGGGGCCTCCAGGGCTCTGGACGCTGGACAGCAGCCCACAGGGCTGTGCCCTAGACACTCACCCTTTGGCCCATCAGCCCCGGGTCTCCAGGGGGGCCAGCGGGTCCTGGGGCTCCTCTGAGACCCTAAGGAGAGGGAGGGTGACAGCCAGGTCACACACTGGGGCCCAGAGCGGAGCACCCCCGAGGGAGCCAGGGTCGGGGCAGGACGGGAGCCAAGTCCCTCTGGCCAGGTGTCCTGAGCTGGAGGCATCGGGTGGACACTTGGGGCTGGCTCCTCGGGAGGGGCAGGTACTCACCTCAGACCCTGGGGGACCCTCGTCACCTCGGTATCCTTTAGGTCCGACGGGGCCAGGCTCACCCTGAGAGATGGAGACACCATGGGACCCCTCGCTCCCTGCCCGGGCCCAGCCCCTCCCTGGCCTTCCTCGTGTGACCGCCAGGCACCATCGGCACACGGAGGATCCAGGTCCCACCCTGAGGGGAGACACCAGACCCTTGGGCGCCGCCACAGGTGGGGATTTGGGTGCTGATACTGGGATGTGGTCAGGTCAGGCTGCCGGCCAAGGCTCCCCCGTCTCTGTTCAGCCCCCCGGGCGGCCCTCCTCTGGGGCTCTGCAGGCCAGGGCAGAGGGTGACGCTCAGGCTCTGGCCGGCCACAGAGGCAGCTCTGGCGGGAAGGGTCCTACACCCCCCACCTCAGATGGCCCTGCCCACTCAATTGTCCAGCCCCTTGATCTCTAGACCCCCAAACACAAGGGTGGGGACAGCTTGGGTCTCTGCCTGAAATGCAGGACCCGCCCTGCCCAGGTTTCCATGCATCCCTGAAGCCCCAGCGCTGGCCTGGGGCAGGGTCTCCAGAGCTGCCCAAGGCCTGGCCACCCTGAGCCCACCCTGAGCCCACCCTGGACCCCGGCTCTGCAGCCTGCTCCTGCTGCAGCCCCCAGGGTGAGTCTCAGTGCCCTGAGCACCTGACACTGCAGCCAGGCCAGAGGAAGCACAGGAGCCCACCAGGCTGGTCATGGGTCTGCCCTCTGTGCTGGCCACATCAGGTGTCCCCCAAGGAGGCCCTGCTGGGCCAGCCTGGTGCTGGTGCCGCACTGGCTCCTGCATGGCCTCTCCCCGAGCCGTGGGTCTCTGGACCTCTGCTGGTAGCAGGAGCCACTGGCCTTGACGTGGTCCCCACCCTGACCATGCACACAGCTGGGCCTGGCCAGCTGCTGCCCCTGCCTGGTGTCAGCATGGCACTGTCAGCAGGCTGCACCTGGCCTTGTGGAGAACCAGCAGCCCTTCAGCTTGGGCTCACAGTGGACGAGATCCGGCCTTGGCATGTGGGAGGGGACCGGTGAGAGGGTGCAGAGGCGGCCCTGGGCCCAGCCAGTGGGGAGCAGGAGGCCTGTTCTGGTGGGTGCCACTGTCCCCATGAGAAACTTGATACTCGCAGTTTTCAGGGAGCAGGTGACTCACTGGTGGGCACCTCTGGGGCACCCAAAGGCCCCACCAGTCCTGTTGGGCAGCCCGCTCCTGGTGGAGCAGGGACCACACCTCCATGGGTGGGTGGGCCGCGGGCAGGGGAGGCCGGCAAGGCCCCGAGAGAGGGGAGGTGCTTCCCGCGGGCTCTGGGTTCCTGGCTGCTCTCCTTGGACTTGAAGAAGCACCGTTTCCCAGAACGTCCCCCTCCGGGGCCATGGCAGCGCCACTTGGGCCAGCGGTCCTCACGCCTCCCCAGCCTGGGCCTGCTCTTGCTGGAGTGGCCAGCATTGAAGCAGCTGCCCTGCCCTCCTCACCTCTTTCACCATGGACTGGGGGCCCCAGCGGGCTGCAAGCTCCTCTGTCCATCAAGCAAACTGCCAGCAGCCCAGGTGCTCACTGTCAGGGCCACCTGGAGGCCTCCAGGTGTCCCAGGGAGAGTGGCTACCCCCAGCAGCACCTGCTGCCAAGTGACCAGGGCTGCCAGGTCCCTGTGCCCCTCCGCTCCCCGAGCACCCTCTCCCCACAGCGAGGGGGTCAGCGTCTGGGGCCTCTGTTCCCATCTGTCACAGGCCACAGGAGCTGGTCCCTCCATCACCATCAGCACCAGCTGGTCCAGGTGGCCACGCTGCCCCTGCAGCTGACGGGGAGGAACGTGGTGCCCAGGGGGACCCACCCCCGGTGGTGGGGGTACCAGCACACTGTGCCTGGGCAGGTGGCGCTGGCGGGCCGGTCCCTACCGGGTCTCCAGGGACGCCTGCGGGGCCTTCTCTCCCTTGGTCTCCTTGGGGTCCAGCTTCACCCTGGAAAGAATTAAGCCCATGAGGGTGGCATTGGGCCCTGTGGCTGCCCCCAGTGGTGGATGGCTGCCCTGTGGCCGGAGGCCAGGTGGTCATCAGGCAAGGGCTGCAGGAGTCTAAAGGACTCGGGGCAGGCAGAGCCAGGCAGCCAGGGCCCACAGTGGGCACTGGGACTCACTGTCCTTCTCAACACTCCCCTCCTGGCCCCTCATACCTCTGCCAGGAAAGAGGCCCAGGTGCATGGCCTGGGGTGTCCTCCCATTTTCTCAGGAGGCCACTGAGGAGGCCAGCAGCTTGTCCTGAGCCCCCAGAGACTGCCCCCCATTCCCCTCTCCCAGGGCTCTGAGGCCCAGCCTGGGAGTGGCCCCTGGCCCTGCTGGGCTCTGTTCAGGAGAATCTGCAGCCTGAGTGGCCACTGTGAGAGGGATCTGGGTGTCCTGTGCTGGGACAAGACGAGGGCATTGTGTCTGCAAGGGCAGATGGGCACTGCCTCTGAGGCCTGGTGCTGTGCCTGACACCTAGGCTGTCCAGCAAGACGCACAGGGGCCCACCCTGGGTACAGCCGCTGCCCGCCGTCACAGGACAGAGAGCCCCACACTGCCTCCTGGACATGCCGGCCATGGAGGCACACAGCTGGTGGGGCCCAGACTTCCCGCTAAGCCACCCTCAGCGCCGACCGCTGGGATTTTGATCCAATGTCTCACTCCTGAAATTCTAACAAAGAAGGCCCCCCAAGAAGCCAGGATCGGGTGGGGGCCCAGCCGGCTGAGCTGCTCGTCCTGGTCGAGACTCTCTGGCCGCCAGGTGGGGCGCTGGAGGGAATGCCTGGTGAAGATGGCTGAGCACCGTGGCTGAGCGCCGTGGCTGAGCGCCGTGGCTGAGCGCCGTGGCTGAGCGCCGTGGCTGAGCGC